TTAGATGGATGACACCCTCTGAAGACCCCCAAACTGGTGCGCGCGGACGAATAAATTTTTTTCATCCAAACAAATGCTGCTAAACCACAGGAAAACATATTATATATCAAAACCAAAGCAAGCCGCTAGGGGGCCCAAACTCATGTCACTTCTTCCCCAGCACAGGAGATACCTACGGTCCAAATTTCGTCACCATAGCATGTCTAGGTCATGAGATATCAAAACCGGAAGTTCAGCTGCAGTACCAAAACAAGCCGCCAGGGGGTCCAAAATCTAATCATTTTTAGGTCTCATCAAGACCTACCCACCTACCAAGTATCAAGACAATCCATCAATTCCTTCTTAAGTTATCGTGTTTATGGGCGGACGAACACACACACACACACACACACACACACACACATACACGAACGCCTCTGAAAACATAACCTTCTTGGCGAAGGTAATGAGCGAAGAAATAGAGCTAAAACCTCAGTACTGTGTTGAGTGAGTCCCCATTGCGTGCGAATGCCCTTACCACACGAGTAAGGACATATTAAGGACTTTCATCCCCTGGTAGTGATTCAAATCTCCGCCACTTTTTACATAAGTCAGAGGAAAGCCCCGTAGTTCCTGCTGTTTTAAGCGGGTACAGTAGGTGATTTAGCCAGGTAATGGTGCATCGTAGCAACGTAAAACATATAAGCCGATAAAGCATGTTAGGAATTATTACCAAGCATAAGTGACATGTAACATGTGTGCGTAAGCTTCTACCAGACGGTCACAGCATGCAAACCGGTTCAGACCTGCTGTTTCTTGTTAAGGCCACACCAATTTAATTTGTTGGTTCTTGGATTTTTTCAGAAAAAATATGAAGCGTAAAAAACCGGTCTAGGCATCCTATTATAGCCCTGAATGCTACGATAGGAGCCATGAAGTCAACACAAAAGGCTGGGTTAATATTTAAACAATGAATTTTGAACTTTTAATCAAACCACTGCATTGAAAGATGGAAAAACAGTGTAACTAGGAGGAAAAGGACTTTCCTCAACTGTTGGGGGCAAAATATGAGCATTTTACAGTTTATGAAGTGAAGTGAAATCCTCTGGTATCAATAATATACGCAAACAGTTCACATTATTGATTTTTTTCAACTTTTTTTGTGGTTATATCATGATTTTTGTTCCATAAGACGGGCCGGGCCCCGGTTTGGAATTGTGACATCAGCAAAACTTGTGACATCAGCATAACGTGGTCCGTGTTTCGTGCACCATCGGTCGTGACAAATCGGCTGTGAGATGACAGTAAAGTGCTCCTGTCCGTGTTAGGCTTATCACCCTCGCCTAGAGCACGTCAGGAGACAGATAGCGCCAAAAGCACCGGAAACCATCAAATCTATACTAGACTTCCTGGATCCTGGAAGGACTTATCTAGATATTTTGAGCCCTAGAGACACTTGTCTCTCACAGCCACAAAAGGAAACTTTTATTTTTAATTTTTATTTTATTGAAATTGCAATTATAATGCAATACACGCGGAACAGAGGCAACTATTGCTGGTGTTGTGTCCCGCACATAGAAACGAATACAGGACAGACAATACTCATTTTCACTTGAGTCTAGTGGGGAAAGTCGTGTAAAGTGCCTTTCCCAATTCAAAGGCACAAGATCGGTGGTTTACCCACTTTGTCATTGGATAGAACTACCGAAGTTCTGTTGTCAAATAATGAAAAGCACAGGAAACAATGAAATCTATATCAGGCTTCCTTTAATGATTTTTCCGGGTTATTTTGAGCTATGGAGACACATTTCTCTCATTGTGTAGTAGATGACAAAGAAACTTTTCATCTATACTACTTTAGAACTTCCCAAGAGCCGCACGCAAATAGTTCAAGGCACTGGAAACAATAAAAATTTATATTAGGCTTCTTTGAATGACTTGTCCGGGCTATTTAGAATTGTAGAGACACTCTCATTCTGGTCCTCACAAAAGAACTTTGTCAGCTACTACTACAGAACTCCCGAAGTGCCGCTCGCAAATAGTTCAAGGCACTGGAAACAATAAAAACCTATCTTTAACCGGCTACTTGGAGTTGTAGACAGCTCTCATTCTGGTCCTTACAAAAGAACTTTGTCATCTACTACTACAGAACTCCCGAAGTGCCGCTCTCTAAAAATTCTGAAGGACCGGAAACAATAAAATCTATTCTAGGCTTCCCCCGAAGAATTTCCGGGCTATTTCGACCTGTAGAGTCTCCTTTCTGTCATTCTAGTCGCCACAAAAGAACTTTGTCATCTACTAAACTAGAAGTCCAAAGTGTTTTTCTGAACTAGTTCAGGGTACCGGAAACAATAAAATCTATTTTAGGTTTCCTTGTATGACTTTAGAGACACCTGCCACAACTTCGTCATGCACAACTGTAGAAATACTCAAATATGACGCGATAGCGCGAAAAGCACAGGAAACCATGAAATCCAAGGGGTCCCGGGTTCGAGTCCTGACATGCCACCGATCTTGTACCCTTTGGAAAGGCACTTTTTCACACACGACTTTTTCCTCACTTCGCTCAGGTGAAAATGAGTATTATATTGTCCCCTGTGTTGGTGGCGGCATTAATATAAGTTGAAAGAACTTGAGTGTGCCGTCACCACGTCTTGTGATTATATGTTCGAATATAAAAATTAAATATCAAGCTTCCTCAAAGGATAATTCCGGGTTATTTTGCGCTTGTAGAGGCACTTGTCTCTTACGCAGTTACCCATAAAAACTTGTAATCTACTACCTTGTGTAGAACTATGCACAAGTGTTGCTCTCCAATGATTGTAAAATACTACCTGGATTTCAGCACCAAGGACAGGTACTCCCAGAACATAGTACTATCGTGTCTAGACCCGTGTCTATCTAGTTCTATGCCTGGATTGGTTAGGGTAAGGACAGTTCTGGACAGTCTTCACGTATCCAAGAATGTAAAGATACCCCGGGCACTGTTCTGGACATCCCAGGCAGTTCTGGATATCCCGGACACTGTTCTGGATACCCAGGCACTGTTCTGGATACACGGGCACTGTTCTGGATGCCCTAGACACTGTTCTGGATACGCAGGCACTGTTCTGGATGCCACAGACACTGTTCTGGATACCCAGACACTGTTCTGGATACACATTACACAGGCACTGTTCTGGATACCCCAGACACTGTTCTGGATACTCAGACACTGTTCTGGATACCCAGACACTGTTCTGGATGCCCCCGACACTGTTCTGGATACACATTACACAGGCACTATTCTGGAATCCCCAGACACTGTTCTGGATACTCAGACACTGTTCTGGATACCCAGACACTGTTCTGGATGCCCCAGACACTGTTCTGGATACACATTACACAGGCACTGTTCTGGATACCCCAGACACTGTTCTGGATACTCAGACACTGTTCTGGATGCCCCAGACACTGTTCTGGATACACAGGCACTGTTCTGGATACCCAGACACTGTTCTGGATACACATTACACAGGCACTGTTCTGGATACCCCAGACACTGTTCTGGATACCCAGACACTGTTTTGGACACCCCAGGAACTGTTCTGGACACCCCAGGCAGTTCTGGATACCCCAGACACTGTTCGCGTGCCTGAGCATGGTTCTGGATAAAACCGCGCTGTTTAACAGTGCATTTATGGTACCAGAGGTACCCATGAGAATTGCCGTTGCTAGACCTAGCGAGATAATGTGAGTTAAGTGCTGCTTTCCATGTTCGGCTTAATACATTGAGCGAAGATCATCGAAAACTACAGGAAGGGACCTCACTGCACATCAGGATATTGCATTTAATGTAGCGTAAAGTTGCATTTAATAAGGCTCGTCAGATAATCGTAGTTAGCCACGTGAAATAAAGCATTTACTGTTGTCAGAGCCTTTCCAAGAATGTCTTGAACACCTGGGTAGTCCATGGTAGTTAGCGACAATACGGAGCCGGGTACCCAGGCTACCGAAGCTCCACAACTCAAGAACTCAGTACATACGTACAGTGCCGATTCATAAATTCCGCAAAAAGCCAGCATGTGCCGGCTTGTCGTGTACGTCGCTAAGTACTGCCGCAAATTCTCAATACCAGCTTTGTATTCCTGTGGTTTAGTAGCATTTTTATTTTTGGCCCGATTTTTTTATTTGCTCGTGTGCACTAGTTTGGGGGTCTTCAGAGGATGTCATCCAAAAAAATTAAGTCGGTCGTTTGCTTAAATTTGCTAAAGCCCCCTCCTTACTCATAATAGATTACCAGTAGCTTTACATCGGTACGTGCTTGAAGATTATATATGATAAGAAGATGAAATATCTATATGTATGACAAACGACGTAAAATTGTTTTAACAGACTGACGATATACATACTGTTACAAACTGATAACAATGATTCTATCAGGAATAAGCTTTTGAATCCTCCATTTGTCTTTGTCACGATGTGTTGGATTTCTAGCAGTTTGAAATGTTCCAGACACAAGTACTGGGTATTACAACTGCATAGCTATATGGAGACATATAGCTATGCATTTAACTCCCATACTCTTTCTCAAATGCTGAGTGCTAAACAGAGAAAGCAGTACGTATCATTTTTAAAGTCATTGGTATGACTCAGTCGGGGATCGAACTCACGATCTATCGAAGGTAAGGAAAGCACTCCTCACACTTGGCCATTGCATCGGTAAAAGAGTAAGATGGTATCAATGAAACAGCATAACTAGAGAAGGCAATAATGTTTACCTTCGGACATGGTCTTACTCAAACACATTCAAATACATTGTACTACTAGTATATGGTGACAGGAGCAGAGCAGACCATGAAATTGCAGCATTATGTAACCCAACACCAGTCACCATGGTGGCAGATGTCAACAAATCATGTCATTGGTCAGGTCATAGGTCACTGTTTGGAGAAGAAGAAGAGGAAGAAACGGAGCAAAAACAATATGTTTTCCTTCGGTAAACAGAAATACATACAGAAGACTTAAGAGTGGCCACTCACCGTTGCGGGGTGTAAGAGGTACTCAGCTAAGAAGAACGCCTTGGTCAGCAGCCGTCTGAGCCGCTTGCAGATGTCAACCGTCACTCAAGACTATCTGGAAAACGTTCACATTAGGCAATGTTGATTTGATTATATGGTTGACATCCCGTGGGAACCTCAAAACTGACGCGAGAGTGCGAATGATATGAATCAGACCATCATTAAAAGCTAACAGGAAGCCGTGATTTGGTCAGTTTTAGTACGTACATCGCAATGAGTCAACACTTTCAAGTTTCAAGGACACAAATCACAGTGATTTACTAAAAAAAATCCACATTGTATATCACGTTATTAGGTCCTAAAATCCTATATACCACTAGAATCTGACAAGAAGCCGTGGTTTGGTCAGTTTTAGTACGTACGTCGAAATGATTTAACACTTGTCCACATGGAGTTTCAACAACAAAAATCGCAGTGATTTACAAAAAAAATCCACATTGTATATCACGTTATTAGGTCCTAAAATCCTATATACCACTAGAATCTGACAAGAAGCCGTGGTTTGGTCAGTTTTAGTACGTACGTCGAAATGAGTCAACACTTGTCCACATGGAGTTTCAACAACAAAAATCGCAGTGATTTACAAAAAAAATCCACATTATTATATCACGTTATTATGTTCTGAATCAGACCACTAGAATCTAAGAGGAAGCCGTGATTTGGTCAGTTTTAGTGCGTAAGTCGCAATGAGCCAACACTTGTCCACATGGAGTTTCAACAACAAAAATCGTAGTTATTTACAGAAAAATCTACATTGTATATCAGGTTATTAGGTCCTAAATCCTACCACTAGAATTTGTCAGGAAGCCGTGATTTGGTCAGTTTTAGTGCGTACGTCGGAGTGATTCAACGCTTGTCCACATGGGGTTTCAACAACAAAAATCGCAGTGATTTAAAAAAAAAAATCCACATTGTATACGAGTATCATGTTATTAGGTACTAAACCCTACCACTAGAATCTGACAAGAAGCCATGATTTGGTCAGTTTTAGTGCGAACGTCGAAATGAGTCAACACTTGTCCACATGGAGTTACCAACAACAAAAATCGCAGTGATTTACCAAAAAAATCCACATTGTATATCACATTATTAGGTCCTAAATCCTACAATCTGACAAGAAGCCGTGATTTGGTCAGTTTTAGTACGTACGTCGCAATGAGTCAACATAACACTTGTCCACATGGAGTTTCAACAACAAAAATTGCAGTTATTTACAGAAAAATCTACATTGTATATCAGCCGTTATTAGGTCCTAAATCCTACCACTAGAATCTGACAAGAAGCCGTGATTTGGTCAGTTTTAGTACGTACGTCGCAATGAGTCAACATAACACTTGTGCACATGGAGCTTCAACAACAAAAATTGTTGTGATTTACAAAACAATCCACATTGTATATCACGTTATTAGGTCCTAAATCCTACAATCTGACAAGAAGTCGTGATTTGGTCAGTTTTACTGCGTACGTCGGAGTGATTCAACGCTTGTCCACATGGAGTTACCAACAACAAAAATCGCAGTGATTTACCAAAAAAATCCACCTTGTATATCAGGTTATTAGGTCCTAAATCTACAATCTGACAAGAAGTCGTGATTTGGTCAGTTTTACTGCGTACGTCGAAATGATTCAACGCTTCACATGGAGTTTCAACAACAAAAATCGCAGTGATTTACCAAAAAAAAATCCACATTGTATATTACGATATTAGGTCCTAGAATCTGACAAGAAGCTGTGATTTGGTCAGTTTTAGTACGTACGTAGGATCTAGGAGTGAGTCAACATAACACTTGCCCACATGGAGCTTCAACAACAAAAATCGCAGTGATTTAAAAAAAATCCACATTGTATATTACGTTATTAGGTCCTAAATCTTACCACTAGAAGCTAACAGGAAGCCGTGATTTGGTCAGTTTTAGTACGTACGTAGGACTGAGTCAACATAACACTTGTCCACATAGAGTTTCAACAACAAAAATCGCAGTGATTTACAAAAAAAATCCACATTTTATATCACGTTATTAGGTCCTAAATCCTACAATCTGACAAGAAGTCGTGATTTGGTCAGTTTTAGTACGTACGTAGGAGTGAGTGATAGTTCACACTTGTCCACATGGGGTTTCAACAACAAAAATCGCAGTGATTTACAAAAAAATCCACATTGTATACGAGTATCATGTTGTTAGGTACTAAACCCTACCACTAGAATCTGACAAGAAGCCGTGATTTGGTCAGTTTTAGTGCGTACGTCGCAATGAGCCAACACTTGTCCACATGGAGTTTCAACAACAACTAGAGTTCCACGATCTCATACCTTCGCCAAATGATGTTAGCTTTTATGATTAAGAAATTATATATTAATCCCCCTAATTATGCAAATAGGATCCTCAATTGCATGAATTATATCTGTTGATCATATTCTCCACCAAAAGACAGTCTTATCTTAACAAAGAATGCCATGATGAAATTTTCTCATAAATTATGCAAATGAGGTCCTTATTTGAATAAGTTATGTTTAATTATGTTCACCTTAACTTAACTTTCAAACACCCCAAGTATAAAATTCCAGGCAGTTACCACTATGCAATTATAATATTTTCTCATTAATTATGCAAATTAAGTCTTCATTTGCATAATTGATATCTGCCTGTGTTTCTCTCATTCTTAATAACATATGTCACAAGCTTGAACTTCCTATTATGGAATGCAGCTGATAAATAGAATTTCCTCATTAATTATGCAAATTACATCTATATTTGCATAATTGTAATATCATTATGTCAAGCATCACTCAAGCTACCTACATACCAAAAATCACGATGATCCATCCATCAGTTCTTGAGTTATCCCCCTTT